CACATTTTCTATCTTAAACGTGAAGAAAACACAATTGAACTTACAGTCTTCAGCTTCCGACGGCGTTTAACGAAGACTAACCCGAAATGGAATTTCCTGCACTGATATACTTGGTATGCTCACGTGGCAAGGGAATAGCATAACGTGATTGGCTGAATGATACCACATGACTTAATATGCATTGCAAATTACATACCAATGAATAATACATAAAAGAATGAAAGAACCGTGTGGCCTGACATCATATGCAAATTTAACCCAGTCATAAAAAAGGAATCTTCAAGGGCAACAATTCGCACAAGTCGAAAACAGCAGCTGGACTAGACATACTGTACTATGCAAATTACACTACACCAAATCTACCAGGAAAATAACTTATCGGCAATGATAACAAGGGCTGTCGCAAATGGGTCTTTCAGACTAGGGCAGTGGTATAGCAGATGTTTTGTAACCCTTTGATAAAACCATCTATAAATTGTAGAACCAGTGATCTTAATGTTGATAAATTTCACTAATCACTCTCATATGATCATAAAACTGTGAGTTGGTCATTTTATCAGTATAAAAAGGCTGATATTGGTATTGTAGCGTGTCCCGCTGCACAGGGTTTGACGCTGTAAGAATGACACACTGGTGCAACTCACTGTTCTGGTCACAAAACCTCTGCTTTATTGCTATCGAGCACACCACAATGTGCCCTTCCAACAAGCTCTGCAACATGGCGCCTGGCGACAGGGACTGCGCAGGTGCGAGGCGGGAAAACCGCGGGCCGTTCGCAACCAGCGCGGGCAGCCAGCCAACTCCATGCGGGTCCGAGCTGGCGCCCCACCGGCCGGACCCGCCGGCGCTACAGTATTCTGTGTTATACTATTTGTAGCATTCCTTGGGATACCTGTTTCTCTACAGATGATATAAATGAGGTCTGTGTTAGATTTAAAGCCTTTTTTGCAGCTGTAAAAGATGTCCCATTGCCAAACTAAATGGAAGAAAGAAGCATCCTTGGATTTCCGTTGAAATTGTTGCTTTAACAAAAAACAAAAACAGGGCTTACAGGGCAGCAGTTTGCAGTGATAGTAATCAAAATTTGTGGGCTTAATACAAAAGACTTCACAATGATGTCAAATACTTAATTAGTCAGTCCCACTGTAATTATGTTCATGATATGGCTTGTAACTCTTTATTTAACCCAAAACAATTTTGGTCTTTTGTGAGTAGTCAGTGACGTAAAAGTATAATTAGCGAGATTTCACAGTGACCTCCGTGTCGTTAGTGATCCTACCAGTATTGCACAAAATTTCAATCGAATTTTTCAAAATAACTTCCGCAATGGTTCTCATAATCTGTGGCAATTCATGTGACCATACCATCACTGATTTTCGTCTGGGTGATATTTCCACAAGCCCTGGAGAAATTAAACAAATGCTGTCAGAGCCTAACTGTGTTTCTCCTATGCTGCTTAAATTGACTCATGATAGTTTGGCTCAACCACTTGCCAAACTTTTTAATTTGTCCCTTGCTACTGGTTCAGTTCCACAAGAGTAGAAATTGGCGAATGTGGTTCTATTGTTTAAATCAGGTGATGCTCATGATATGTCCAATTACCGGCCTATTTCACTGTGTTCTGTTGTTGGGAAAATTCTGGAAAGGATTATTTGTAAACGTCTTGTTAATCACATGTACAGAGGGGGATAATTTCACCTAGTCAACATGGATTCTTACCCAAGTGTTCGTGTGCTACACAGTTAACGACCCTGTATCATGGTTGGGCTAGTGCTATTGATGTTTCTAAACCACCTCCTATTGATGCTATATTTTTGGATTGGTCGAAGGCCTTTGATCGTTTCAATCACCGAGCTCTTTTACATAAGTTACATAAGTATGGCATTTGTGGACCGATGTTGAACTGATGTTGTTGAACTGATGTTGAATCACAAATAGATTTCTGCGGATTCACTTTCTACTTGGGCTGCAGTGCATTCTGGTGTGCCACAGGGATCTGTTCTTGGGCCTTTATTGTATAACATCTTTGTTTAGGATCTGCCATTTTGTGTTCAGTCTGATCTTCGGCAGTATGCTGATGACACAGTTTTGTAAAGGGTCATAAAACACCAGGAAGACAAGTGGGCTCTCCGGAATGACCTGCAGCACATACACACATGGTGTAATCTTAATCATATGTATTTAAATCCCAACAAGTGTAAACTCATGACAGTGACTTGTTCTAAAAATTTCCCCAGGCCAGAGTTGATGAGTACATTTTTGTTGCTCCTATAATTGCTTTTAGGTTGATTTTTTTTTTCGCAAGTTTGTTTTTATTGTTGTTCTTATTGTGGAAGATATGGTTGTGGTTGTTATTGCTGATGTTGTTTTGTTGTCGTCTAGTACGTGTGTGCGTGCTATTTGTAGTCACAATAGGTGCTCACTTAAGTGAGACGGAGATTAACTACTACCCTGATGTTTGTTTGTTTGTTTGTTTTGTATAGTTTTGGTTTTGGTTGTGGTCGTGGTTGTGGTTGTAGGTGTAGGTGAATTTGTTTCTGCATTCAATTGGGGACCTTGAACAATAGAGGACAATAAGGTCCCCGATTGACAGAGGGTCCCCGATTGACAACTTTGTACAAAACATATGGGTGGTCCTCTAAAAAAGTTAAAGTACAAACAAAAGAGGAACAATAGGGGGTCCCCAGTTGCAGGCAAATACACACTTGCATGTGTGTGTGGGTAGGCATTCACCACGTTGAGGGGACAAGTTCTTTTCTTAGGGAAATTTGAACCGAATTGTGGGGACATTTCTGAGTCCCGACAACGTTTTCGGTCCCAACAAAACAGGTGAAATGTCGAGTGTATGTCCTACAACTACGGTGCGGGAGGCAGTGTGTTGGGGTGTGTTTTTGTTTGTTAGTTTGTTTGTTTGTTGTGGTTTTGTTTTTCTTGGTGATATTTTATGTTGTGTTTTTTCATTTCCTGTTTTTCTGTCTGCTGTCCTTTTTGTTTTGTTTTGTTTTGTTTTTGTTCTTTTTGTAGCACTAGGAGAGCAACTTGATGGTAATTAAGTTTGCTTTTTTGCAATCCTGCCGGGGTGTTACATGTGTTTTGTGTTTGTGTGGATGTGATGTTGTTGCTTGTGCTGTTGTTTCTAAGTTTGTCTGTTACTGTATTTTGTGTTTTGTGGGGTTTTTTGGTGTAGATTCTTAACTAAATATATATTTTGTATCTTTAAATTTGTAAATTGTGTAAATTTTAAATGTTTCAATCCTGCAAAATAAATAAATGAAATGAAACAATAAAATTGACTTTGTACATTTCAATCTGTAATAAACCTTGATCATTACATTCCTTTCTACTTCAATTGCAGTGTCAAAGTTCTATTACATGTACGTCTTTAACCAAAATCGCTATTATCTTTTTTTGATCAAGGTCATAAATCATCTATATTTGTTAGGCAGTTTGATGTTTCTTAATACATGTATTTACTTTCAAGACTTTTATTAGGTTATTCCGGTAAGTCCACAAATTTCTCACAACACTTTAGCGTACAAATCTATTTGTCATCTTCTGGTGCTTTAAAATAACGCAATTTTAAATTCAACAAATTCTCTTCAACAGTTTCAAACTAATTCACAATGTTCCATTAATTAGAGAGATCCAAGTGGGAACTTATGGTTGTGATGGATGGCTGAATAAATATTACTCTGTGGTATGTGTTGGTAAAGCCGTCAAAACTGGCTTAAAACAACAGCTACAAGTTCGCGGAAACTTTGGCACTATGCCTGGTGGCGCTTGGGTTGTTGTGGCATGATCATCAAAAGCCGCACACCAACTTCACGTCTCAACTTTCAAATCTCAACTGACCAAATTCACTTTTTGACTTTCAACCCACACATGACTCAATCTATCATCCATCTGTCATTGTTGGTGCTTGGTATGTCTCATAACATCAAATTTAATGCTTACACAGTTGCTTGTGTTAGGCTCTGTGCCCTTAATGTTATATGCAGTCACTGCACTTCTCAAATGCTTTTTTCTTGAGTTATTTGGGAATAAATCACTAAGTTTTTAATGAGATTTTGTGTTTTATTTGAATCAATTTTCGTGTGGCATTCATACGAAGTGTATTTTGTGAGATCGAATGATCACTCCTTGTGATGAAATATCGCATTTTGTTCTTTATGAATTTCGCTTTTCAGTGGTGACCAACATGTTGGCCAGTCATAGCCATTTTTGCACTAAGTCTCTGAAAACTGATAAAATAAAATTACAAACATTGCAGGGATAATTGAACAGTTCATCAAAATAAAAAGTTTATTCTCAATGGCAAAAGTGGGTCCAACATGAGGGATTTTTCTCTCTATTTCCTGGCCACAGTGATAAGTTGTTACTTGCGAGACAAACACTACAAGTATTGCTAAGATTTTACTGGCCCTACTTGTTTGTCTAAGCTGCAGACTACTGCCTGGCATTTTTTGAACGTTTTCTATTATTCATCAGACATAATCATTGAGAACTTTGAATTGCTAGAGTTGTAATTCCTGTGTCCTTCCTCTGTGGTTTGGCCTACAGAATATTTCAAGTAGTTTTTATAGACTCTAATGTACTAACGTACCTCTTTCCAAAGTCCCTGAAAAACATTCGAAGCACTGTTGCTTTCAGGCAAAGACACTGTTTTGATGATATGGTGAAAAAAAAATGACAATTTTGGGGGGGGTGAATGGGAGGAAAACCCTGGAATAATGTTTAGGATAATACCCTTGGAATCCGGCAGAGACTGAAAACCCAATCCTTCCGTGAACCTACGTGGGATTCAAACGTGGGCCACGGAGGTGAAGGTTTGGAGAGTATGCCGAGCTGGCTCCCCAGAATGTACAGTTAGTTTATGTAGTGCAGAGAAAATATGATCAAGAAGTGTGCACTTTGTGTAGGGTTCTAACAAGGTGCACATTAGATTGTCTCATCTGAGAGAAAAAAAATGTAGTTGATGCTCATTATTTTTATGTATGCAGTTCATGATTGACAGTAACGGGAGTGCATTCAAGTTTAGTGTTCACTGTGGCAAGATTGAAGCAAACACTACTCAGACCATCAGTGTTCACTTCAAGCCGACCCATCCCATTAATTACTATCGCAGGGTCACTTGTGTTGTGCAGAACCAGGTAAGTTAAGTACTAGGGCGTGTTGTTTCATGCAGATCAGTGATCCTAAGTTGGTTCACTGACACCAAAACTGTCTAATGGATAATGTAAACCAGCTTTGGGATCAGTGATGGTGATCCAGATCCCTAACAAACTGGAAATGGCAGAGTGGTCTTATTTGATTTCAGGTCGTCTGACTGTTGTGTAACCACAGTGGTATAATCTTTCAAAACAATGACAGATTTCCCTCACTATTGACAACTGGAAAGATGTCTTTTGTTCCGAGTACGGTCTTTTGTTACAAAGCCCAGCTCTTTTGTCCGATTTTGGCAACCTGGCATTAGATAAAAAGAAAACGAACCCAAAACACGGCTTCCCGGTATGAAGTGGTTTACAAACCTAAAACACAATGACGTCATGCTTTGTTAATGTTTGAACTTTCCTATGTGAGCTCCATGAATCCTAGTCCCACCTTACTGCCATAAGAAAGCTCATTTGTAAACCAAGCATTATGCCATTATGCTACAGGTCTGTAGACTTTGTGAGCCTGGTATTGCCGAGACCTGGATTCGCTGGGCTAGCTATAAGACTTGGTCAGTTGTTTTGAAATAGGACAGTTTATGCAACCATTCATGATAAAATTCATTGATAAAAAGTCACAAAGCTAGTGTTTTTATTATCTTTTTAAAATTTGGATGATAAAATATCGGCAGATGGCAAGGTTCGTACTTCAAGTGTGTTCTTTAAATGGAGTTAAAAATATGATTTCTGTTTAGTTCTGGTTCAGTTAGACTACGTACAGACATTTTTAGCAAAAACTTTGGCTTGATTTAAGTTCGTATGTGTACATTGTGTATGTGAAATATTGAAGTGATCGCTGAAGAGTGCACCATGAAAATGTTGTGCTATAAATGTCCCCTCTCCCATTCTATTCACACAATAGTGAAAACATGCCTAAACTCCCCACACAAATGGATTTCACAGGCTAAGCACACCAAATGTGACATTGTGGCATCTCCACCCATCACAGTGCCAGTTCTTGACTTATCATCAATATCGATACAATACTTTGCCCCTTGTTTGTTTGGAGCTCTTAGGTCATGCATGACTGGGATTTTTAAAATGTTTTTATCTACTGTGGTATGTATTAAATGTGAAATAATAACACATCCTCTCAACATCAGCAACGTCCAGTCTTTGGAATGATACCGACAGTAGTCATCCACCCATAAACACCTGGTGCATTTAGAGTAAATGTTTCCGAAAAAGTAACTGAGTCTTATAAATTTAATTTTTACCCCAACCAAAAAACAAACAATAAATACACCATTTCCAGTTTTATGAATGGACCCAATCATGACTGTTAAGTAAATACAGACATTTGTTATGCTCCATTAGTCAATATGGAAGACTTGTTCTCGGAGCACTTTTATACCTGGCAACTGTTCCGATTCAATCGGGACTGTTCAAATTTTTAAGTTTTCAGACTGCAATAAATTGGAATGTTCCAATTTCTATGAAAAAGGAAAGTAAAATAAACAAAAAAAATGCCAAATTTGCAGAAAAAGAGGGTGGTTTTTCTTTTTTGCTATGGCAGCTTTCCACACAAGCATACAAGTGTATGGCTACTTGTTTTGCTATGGGCTCGTAAAATGGTTGTTTCAATTTCTAACTTTTTAGTGTTGTGCAGTTTCTGAAATTTTTTATCCCTGCACATGGATGAACTTTACATATTGGAAATTGTGGTGCCCAAACTTTAGGATCAGGCAGCTGATGAATAGCTGAAAAAAGATTCAAACAGCATGTGGCTGTGGCATAAACTAAACCATTTTTGTAAGAAACAGTGTACATTCATTCGAGTTTCAGTATAAAGTGATACAATTTATTTTTGCACAGGATGCCTTGTTTCTGGATTTGATAGGGACATGCCATACGGAGCTTGTCAAGCCAGCTGTATTGCAGCCAGAGCATCTGACCCGTTTCAGGGTACATCTGACTCGTGGCTTTACTGTCTTCCCTCCTGAGGTAATGCTCTGTAGAACAGACCGCACATTAAGTCAAGGTAGTAGCTCAAAGTCATTGTGTATGCTCTAGAGGAGAGTAACTCAAGAGACATGAGAGGTTCTCACTGCTTTGCATATATTCCATGGTCCACTACACTCATCCTTAAATAGTTGCCACTTAAACAAATATGCTTTCGAACCTTTCACCATTTGCAAAAAAACTGATTTAGTGTAGTGCGCCCTCTAGTGCTACAATGCAGCCCGGCAAGCTTGGTGGTTGAGTGGTTAAGACATCTGCATTAGTAAGCAGGAGGTCGTGGGTTCGAGTCCCACCTGA